AAAACATGGGGGGGGGGGAGGGAGCTACGGTGCTCACGTAAACTGTAAACTTGTTTACACATTGCCGGTTGTCCTGTCAGGGTTTAATTCAACAGTAGAGGGGACAGGGGGTTTTAAGACCACTTTGCTGGTGGGGTAGTATATTTTCATGGTGCTAATATTCAGGCTACCATGTATTCTTCCTCTTTCAAATTGGTAGTAATTTAGCATCCTGTTTGGTTGGTTGCCATGTTTATTGACACCAGTACAAACATAATGTACGTCCTTCCTGTAAAATGTACAATTGTAAAATGAACTGTAGTCCATCTCTCTGGTGGTGTCTCTCTCATGGGGTTGTTATTGTAACCTGGCGTTTTCAAGTTCGCTTAAATCATATTTGACAACAGGCCTAAGTAATTCAAGAGTTTCCCACTCCCAAATAATTTACTTTTGATGTTGGAGAGGACATGTCATTCATTCAGATTAGGACAGGGGACAATCGATTTATTGTTTAATCTGGCTACAGTATCACCACTTCGTAGGGCACAAATTCTATGATTTTCAGAGTTAATTCCTGTATGTTTATACTTCATTCGGGTCTGTTTCTGTTGAGTTTCTAAAGGGGACACTGCACTTTATTTAATGTTGTGTCCTAAATCCTTGGGACCCATATAGTGCCACAATGCTTAAACATTAGGGTTAACAGTTGTAACTTTCTAATGTTTGCAGCTTCAAGAGATTGTGTTTCAGACACATGAGATTTATCACTGTGTGTTTAAAAAGGTGCAAAGGCCTTTTTTAATGTTTCCTTTTGATGGCAGCTTTAAGCTATTATAACTTTAAGTTTAAGTAAAAACTTCTTAAAATTGAAATTCTTTCTTTAGAGGGTGAGTTCAACTGGGCACAAATTCTCCTGGTTCTGGTGCATGTTTTGCCATGAATATGCAGTTGTCTGTCAGGTATTTTACTGTTCTGTTTTATAAGAAAGGTGGCAAACGTCTAAACAAACAGGTTAAATACAGCAAGAGCACCAATTCATTAAAGCACTTGTAAAACATAACAATTTCAGTATACATTCAAATTTAGTATTTGCATGAAAGAAAGTCTGTGTTGGCTGTTTTACAGATTAGCATTCAGTTTATTAGCACCGGTGGTGCTTAAGTACTTGAAGTCCACTGTGTCAATCTTTTGACCTTTTATTGTGGTTGGCAGGGGGATAACATTGCACCCCTACCTAAATAAAATGATCATATAATTGATTTTACTGGTGTTTAGATTGAAGTAGTAGTGGTCATATGAGTGAAGTTTATCCTTAACAGGTCAATAGTCCCGTTTCCTGCCCTGAAAGTAAAGATCACCAGTATCATCTACATACATCAGTCTCTGTGCTGGCTTCTACAGTCAATAGAATAAATTGTAAAAGAGAGCGGACATAAAACACAACCCTGGAAACCAGTGGAACAGGAGCACTATTCCTCTCAGCCACCCTGTGGTCTCACTGAGAAAGTATCCACAATACAACTACTGGTTGTATTACATTTGGGTCAAGGTTAAAATTATTTTGGATCAAGGTTAAAATGATTTAAAATACTTTTCTGTGAAAAACTGTTAGCAGCCAGTAAGAAGATGTTTTGAAACTTCTAGGTGTTCATAAATGTGGGTAAGCAGAGAAGCAGTTGCATCATCAATTGTGTAAAGAAATGATGCCTTTGGTTTTGGATTGTCTGCCTTATATTACACTTGAAGTGAAGAACATATTTAGTTTAGACCACTTTAAAAGGGTCAGCGGTCCAAGATATCAGGCATAAATCAAAGGAAATTGGTGACCTGTGTGGCTGCCACCACTTTAAATATTGCTGCTATATCTTCTCTGTTTTGTTGTGAAATGTATTTTTTATGTGCGAGCAGATCAAAATGTTTACATAAAACAACTTGCAGCAGAATCACATATAATGCATTTCTTTCTTGTAATTCCCTTTTCTTTGTTTCTCCTCTCACAGGCTTGCACTGGAATTGACAACATTGCAGAGGCAATCACTCTGTTAGAGCTTAATAACTGGGATTTAGTGGTAAGTTCATTATCTGCAGACTTTGGGCTTTGCTCTTGGCAGACAGGCGTAGTCCATCTAGAGTGCAAGTTCAAGAGGGCAGTTACCATCCAATAATTTTGTTATGGCCAAATCATTTCTTCATTTCACCCAGTATGTTTTCTGAAGCAGGTGGCAGGATTGCTACCCTCAATGCAATGTGAGAATGCGTACTGAGAGGTGCGGTAAGGTGAACGTCGAGTTGAGAGACAGTGTGAGAAAGAATGGGTTCTGCCAAGTTTGTATTAACTCATAATGAGTCTGAAAAGCAAGGAGCACTTTACCACGCAGTGCATATTGGAAGGGGTCAGTCTATATTTAGACTGATGCTGGCAGGAGTTCAAAGCAGGCAGCAGCAGCAGTCCAAGACTCACTGCACCTGTAAATCTGATGACTTGCAGTTCCTCTGCAGTAGCTGGTAGTTTTTGTAAACATTCACAACAACATATCTGCTCATGTGTGTTTCCTGAGTGGGGGCAGGGAGTGGGTTGGTTTTAAATGAAGGGATACTCCACCCAAATCTTCTATCTTATTAAGCAGTGTTTCCCCCAGGATATTGTTGAGCAAAGCAGGAAATTGTTTAATCCACCCAGATCCTGATGCAGCTCGTCTTGTGATCAATTTAAGTAGCAAATGACAAACCGATACATTCATTAATTCCCCTGCATTTGCTGTGTGAAATACTGCCATTGTTCTCTTCCCTCCTCCTTTTAGATTTGGCTATAAGATTGCATTCAATAGAAATAATGGTGCAGAAACTATGATAAAACAAGGATATTCTTACCTCAAAACAAACAGAAGAAATAAACAAAATAATTAGCAAATTGAAAAATGGAATCTCCCATTTACAACTGCACTGGAGTGTGTTTAGTCCTGATAACCGCTGCTGACGTTTGTGGCACTTTACCAACAAGTACTGTGTGGCTTCCTGCTCAACTGATCATGCAGACATCAGTGCCCAAAGATGTTAAGTGGAATTGTGAGGATTGTGGTGTCATTCATTTCACTGAAGCTTAAAGATCAGAGTTTTTGACCTATGGAGCTATTTTTCTAAGAGTAGCTCAACATTTTGTTCATCTCGTGCTTGTTTGTTCTTTTGTTTGTTTGTTTGTTTGTTTATGGTTTCACACTATTCCACTCATCAACGGGTGGCTGTAATGCGCCAAGATATGCAGCAATGTGCCAATAATGGCAGGGATAGAAGAAGACTGTTGGCAAGTAAACATGGATGTAAACAATGCAGGATTTAGAACGCTTAAAAAATCTGAGGGAGGAAATGTATTCAGCATGTTTGTTAGACTGCAAGAATACACAATGCATTGTAGTGAGAAACACTGAATATAAACATAACTTTTGTTTGTTTACAAGAAAAAAACAGGGCTTCTGTTTCTTGTACCTTTCCTGAACCTTTCTTGTGCATTACAAGTAGCAATATCCTGTTGAACATTTTATTAGTTTGTTTTTCAGTGTTGATTTAAGACCCTTACATTTTTTTGCCTTTATACATTTCCTACATTAAATAAAAGAATAGGGGATATGAATATACCAGCACATAGCCACTATCTTTATTTTGCTTGTTTGCAGTGAAGAATAGTGAGTGTTCGAGAGACATCCAATCAATTGTCCATTCAAACAAAAGCTCAGTGCAAAGCTGACAGTGGTTACTGTTATGTTTGTCCTCTCAGCTCTTTGTTCCGATCAGCCATCGAATTTAAATATTCCATCATCATCCTCTGTCACAAGTTTAGTCTCAAACCTTTCAGCCAACACGTATCACACATTATGACACATAATGTTACAGAATCAACCAAAATGTAACTGGTAAATATTATTTGTTTACATGCGGACGTGCTAGTTAGTCCAATCAGTCACCACACTCAACAGGCTAGAAAAGAAACTTTTCAGGGTTTAATGACAATTTTATTGTCTCAGTGTTGATTTAACTAAATAATGTTTTGAAATGCTTATTTGTGAATTGTATGTATTGTTTTTTGGCAAGTTAAAAAAAATCTATCTGACAGTATAGCACATTTGTTTTTACAAAATATGTAGTGTAGGGGTCCTGTTCTTGTTCACAGTGTTATGATTGACTTGTTTGCATGTCCCTTTTTAAGGAAATACATATAAATTATTAAGTTACAATTTACAGAGTTGTGTCTTACACAAAAAGCCTTCGATGACCAAATGTGCTGGAACATTAACAGTAACTCTATTAGTTACTGTCAGAATACAGAATAAAAGTAAGTATATGCAACAGTATCGGCCAGTCTCTTTGAAACATACTTCTCATTTATCGTCTGCTTTTCCATGTTTTGATGTGAAATTTTGATGGGATAGCTTGAAGTTTACAGATCACAGAGCACAGTCAACTATATCAGTAGCAAAGAGTGTAGAAGAGTTGATACAATAAACTTACTAAAACATGAATATGGAATTATATTGTGTTGTATAACGTACTTCCACTTTAATTACAGGCAGCCATCAATGGAGTGATACCACAGGAGAATGGGATCTTACAAAGGTAATGACCGTGCCACACATTTACTGTAAATCTGATCAAATGTATCAGTTTACCATCCAACACTGAACAAGTGCTACCAGAGATCATACATATCATGTATGACTTTTCAACGCACTAACCCTAACCCTTTCCGTTGACACTAGAATGATCACGTATGGAAAGAAATGCCAAGGACAGTTGGTATCAATAGTTGGTATGGAAGTGGGGATATACTGTATGTCACTGAGGTTTATGTGCCTGTGATACTAGTGTGCATCTACAATGTAGCACATAAAACAACATTCAAACAATGCAGGAAATGTGAAACCGAAGACTGAGTGTATTAGCAGGAAATTGAACTCCTCACCTCAGTGGTGACCAGGCAATGTGAACTTGCAGGTTTAGTTTCTGTCTTAATGTTTCCATGAGCTTTTACCATAATTACAGTGGGTGTAGGATTCAGCATTATTAAGTCCAACCTGGAATTTTTTGTGATACCTTTTTTGTTTTTTTGTTGTTGTTTTGTTTTTTTTTTGCATTTTTGTTACTGATCAACAAGTCAAGACGTGTATAAGAGTGTACACCACTTAAATAGTTCAGATTTGATAGAAGTACATTTCCTGTATCACCTGTTACCATGATGAAATAATATTTGGATGTTAAATCTTAAATCCAGCAAATGACCCTAATATAGATGCTACTGGATTGTAGATTATTGCTCCTTCGATGGTTTGTATTCTGCTGTTTAATGGAGGAATTATATAAAAGACACAGCAACTGCGAGGAAACTTTCTGCCAAGAGTGGAGTTGTACACAGTTTCTGAATAGAAAAGGTTTCTTTAAGAGGCTTTGAGCCCCTCACTTTCCTTCAACGGTTAGTTTACACTCATGAATACACTGAGCTGATCTGAACCCACTCAAACTGGAGACGTTCTGTTAACCGTTGTATTTTGTGTACACACTTGTGTGCATGTGTGCGCATGCATGCATGTACTTTAGTGTGGTTCAGGCCCTTGGGCCATGAGAATATTGCTGGTCTTTCTCAAGGGCACACATTGCTATGAATGGAGGCTGGCTGGCAGTGTGACCAGCAGCCAACACATTCACTAAGTGGTTGGCACTGGTATGAGTAGGCTGGCATTGCCCAGTAAACAGACTCTGATGACGTGACCTGAGCTAGAGCCAGTTGGAGGCTTCACTAACGCTCCTGTTTAAAATGAATTTCTCTTGTGTCCTCTTTAGTAAGTAGGTTGGACTATTTCCTGGTTGATCAGTAACCTAAATTCCCCGGGGCATCAGGGCATCAGATCCTTTTCTGGGTAGGACTCGATAAAAATGCCTAATCCTCTGTTGAACCTTTTCACCAATTTGACAGTTTGTGTGTGGGTGAAGGGCTCAGCAGTTCTGTCTGCTTTGGGACACCTCAACAACGGACAATTTAACGGCCCTCGCTGTTGCTGTGCCAAGTTTTGGTGAAAGTGCACTTTTTTCACACTTGTTGTCAGAGCTAACACCATAAACTATTTTCTTTTGTTCCTTTTCAATTTGGAGTAAAATCTCTTGCTCATCTCATCCAAGTCTGTTTTATACCTTTCTGAAATTATCTCAGGCCTTTAAATATTGAATGATTTCACTATGAATGTATTAAATAGTGGTTCACTTTTTTTCTTTTTTCTAGTAAGTATTTTTCTTGTGCAGTTATAATGTTAGGAAATGTTTGGAACTTCAAATAATTGTTTGGTTTCTAGATTTGCTTTGTTACTGAAATGTCTGGTGGAAGAGACAGTTATAGAGTGTTACCATTCAGTTGGGTTAATTTCCCACCCTGTGGGTTTCAGCCTGTTTGTGGAGGTTTTGTGGCTGTTGACCACCAACCTACGCTGCAGGACCGTGGCCTCTCTAATGTGGTGGGCCAAATAAAATACAGCCTTTGTTAAAAAGCCTGAGTCTGGCACTCTGTTCTTGCAAGACAGTTGCTGCTTACACTTCAAGGAACAAAGGGCACACTTTGCTCATGGTCAGGAGAAAAAAGACATTATTTACTGTGTCTTGTGAAACGTGGGTTACACACTGAGCAAGCAGCAACGAGAAAAGCATGAAAGAGAATAAACAGTTATTGTACGTGAGGGAAAGCCATTTATTGTTGGTGTGTTTTTTTTTTTTTGTCATGCAAGCTAAAGAGAGAGATAACTGTCATCTGGCCACAAATATACTCGTACATATATTTGCTCTTACGTATATTGGTTATGTTTTGGCTTTTGGCTTTTGTTTCTTCTCTCAACTTCCACACCAGCAGTAACCTTATCACCTCTGTACAGTAACTTCTCCGGTGAGGCAAGCCAGGCCAGCATGTACGGACCTCCAAGCCATTCAGAAGCAGCCGATGCAGCAGCCGGAGGTGCAGTTCCTCCTACCTCCTCTTCGTCTTCTTCCTCCTCTCCTCCATCGTCCTCGACTTCAGCTTTTTGCCCCAGCAACTCCTCCTCCCGACAAATTGTAGAGCGTCAGCCCAGGATGCTCAACTTCAGGGTGGAGTACCGGCAGCGCACCGTAGAGCTGGTACTGGAGGAAGGCAGCACAGTCGGTGAGCACCACGCACACTGTCATACTGTCATAATCAACATGTCACCCTGCCTATTTGTGCATAACATTTTCCTCTGCATTGGTCTGCATCCATCTAATTTACAGGCGAAATCAAACAAATCCTCGAGACAGAGCTTGCGGTTCCAGTGTCCAAAATGCAGCTGAAGGGATGGAAGAGTGGAGATGTATCTGATAGTGTGAGTTAATAAACCGTATAAATGTTTGACACAAACATGCGAGTGAAAAAAACAATAGAGCTTGAACTTTTTTCTATTTTTTTTCTTTTGTTTTGGCAGTTTAACTTTGTGTTCTGTGTCTTAATCCAAATAATATATATTTTTAAATTTCTGATTTTAGCTGCAATGTTTACATTATACAGTGTACGCTGATTTCCTGCTTGTGCTCAGTTACTCATGTTATACTGTTTATTTCAATTCTGTTATACACAGATGACTTTCTTTGTATTGTTAGAACATAGCATATATGACTTTGTTTTAACACTGTTATCCAAAACACCAAGTAAAACCATGAGTGTCTGCATATTCAGCTTCTGTTAGCAAGTGGAAATCACATCCCTGGCCCACACGGCCTTTCTCAGGTCACCGAGTCTTCCAGGCCTGTTGCCTACCCCACAATCAGTAAAACTACGTGATGTTCCTAAAAAATTCCACTTCTAACCAAGTAGTGCAGAGTAACGGGCTTCCCTAAAAAAATATTCATCAGGAGATCTTAAAAGTTTTTAGAGCTGGACAAGTACACATTCAGATATAGTGAGCACCATTATATTCCCTTAACAAATCATTATCTCTGCAGCTATAAATCCTTCCTAGTGAATGAAACTATTCTGAAGTTGTATCTGTGTGTGTGTGTG